CCCCCCACACACACAAAAATAATAACGATGACAAACAAAAACTTTTACGGGGTGAAAATTTGCCAATTGTCCAAAAGAATAAGCTAGTGATGTCATATGCACATGCGCAGAGGTTATTTCCGATTAACCTTTGTTGAGTAATCATTGTTGTAGTTATCTCATTATATTCTAAACTGAAATAAGAATTCATGATTGAATATTTTTTTCATGTTTGTATTTTATTAACTTATTTCTTAAAATAAAACCAAATATTTACTAGTAAAACAATAAACCATAAAGTTATTAATAAACAGAAAATCACTATCACGACATGGTGTGGGCATGGTGATTGTAAACTATCATGGCGGCGGGCATTGCTTGAATGAGGAAACTTCCTCCTACCCCACTATCACTGGCTGCTTAATCTGAAAGCCAAAATAACTGTCTGAAGGTAAATGATTTGAGAACCTTTATTTTTCATGCTTTTGATAAATGGATGAGTCAGGTTTCTACAAGTAGCTTACCTTGCTCAATTTGTCCCTCCTGTCTTCTCGAGTCGGCCCGATCTGGCCTCATGCATGCATGGTGTCAATATAATTTAGAACTAGATCTAGATCTAGATCTAGATCTAGATCTAGAATCTAATCTAGATCTAGATCTAGGCCTAATATAAATGCATTCTATGGTGATTCCTCAGTTCTGAACTCTCTATTAAGCTGTTTTGTTCTGGTTACAATAAATGGAGCTGGCTCAAAAAAGTTATGATGAAAAAGAGTTGACTGATCTTATCGCTGCACAGGCCCTTATTTATACTACTAACTTCGAATATAGATCTAATATCTAGGCCTACGTGTTTGTGTCACACTAGATAGATCCAACTATTTTAACAGTGTAGATCTATTTTTTTACAGTGTTTAGGTTTAGGTCTAAATGTTTACCAAGAAAACATTAGAAATCAAGGTGGCTGCCCCCTCTTAATCACCAGTTGGTGATTCTAGCTTTGTCACTTTCGTGATCACCGTCACTTGCTTCATGTAGGCCTTTCTAAATATGACATGAAAAGAATCACTAAAATCCACTTCTGTAGAAGACAAAGATAATATCCAAAACCTCACCATCAAATAGCTTTGGAAGATGTAGAGATGTCAAACACTTTATTAACAAAAAAATTCAAATGAAAGATTTCATAAATATTATCACAGATGGTTGACTTATATTATATAACTATTAAATAAATTAAAGAGGAACTGTAATATGTGTCATTGCCCTTTCCCATTTTGCACAAGTGCCTTGATCTTGTTACAGCATCTATCGGATAGGTTGAACACAGAAGACTCGAAATCTTGCATCTGTCGAACTGTGCCTACGGTTCCATTTTTTTCCCTCTTTATCTTTATAAGATATCCTTGAACTACGCATCCCTCAAATTAAACTACCGAAGCAGGTCCTGACAAGTTCGAATTATCAGTGTTATGCTGTATATTTGGTTTTGACTTCAATACAGTAGTTTTTCTGTTATGACGAAAAGATAAAGTAAAACATATTTAACGTAGATGGGGGCTTGTCATGTCATATGAGAATACTTGTCATTATTTAGATATCACATACTGACTTTACTCAGCGCTGAGTCCTAGTACAAATTGCAATGATAAGCTCACCTCTTCTAAGGCTCCGCTTGCTGGTTTGTTGTGTTTACATTTAATTACATCTACTCAGGAAAGTAGTAAAATAACAATTACTATGGTATCAATTTTATGCTATATTTTCCTTTAATTGACAATGCTATTGAAGACAAAAGTGATCAACATTTGTATTCTCGTTTTTTTCATCATGGAATGAAACTTTTTTGCACACTCAATCTGATTCAAAGGAGCAAATTAAACAGGGAAAGAAGTACAAGCTACATTAGTATCACAACAGTAAAGGGTCATTATTAATTGCCTCATATTATGACAAGTGAACATTAATTTTGATAGTTTTTCAACTAATGAATGAGCTCCTTGTAAAAGAGACCTGTTTTCAGCACTTGCCGAAACGTATTTTGATGTGTGATCATCATAAAGGAATGTGCCCGAGCCACTGCTAGCGGCTCACTGGCACTGTGGTTCTGACCGCCAACCGCTGGGAGCGGCTTGCCGGGGGTAAGGATTTAAACAAAAACAATGTTTTACTGGTTCGAGTGGTAGACAGCGAATGAAAATAATGCTCAGGTGAATGGACACGGGAGACAGCACAGCTATGCAGGGGGCTCTCATGGTCTAGAGGATATAGTGTTTGCCTCTCATTCAATAGGTCCTGTGTTCGAAACCTTACAGTGATGCAAAATTTTAATCTCTAAAATTTACTGTTTTCACTTCCTTTCCTGCTCTCTAACCGTGCTCTGTCCTCTGCTTTTGTCTTCACTTTCTGCCCACACCCCCGTTTTTGCCTTCTCTTTTGGGCTCCTGGCTCTTTCTGCAGCCTTTTAAAAAGTTTTTAACTGCTTAGGGTAGGTAAGTTCTAACACCTTGTCTTCTTGGATAAGGGCAAAAAATCTTGGAGGCACCGTGTGCAAGTTGCGCACGTTTAAGATCGCTTGGTCGTCCAAAATCAATAAAAAAGAGTAGGCTTCGGCCACCACCTGGGCAAAATTCAACATTAACACAAAACTGAAAATGTTTAATGTGTTTCACACACTCATATGGCCTTAATCAGTTGCGAGTGCAGTAAAACATTTTTATCAAAACAAAAACAGCTACGCATC